AGATCTTCTCCTCCCCGACCGACTACTGCAAGCCATGCCCGCCAAACGCCGAGTGCTCGGACGACACCTCTCTCGCGACCCTCGGCGTCCCAGCCGGCTACTGGCGCGCCAGCCCCTCCTCCGCCGTGCTGACGGCGTGCCGCGACTTCGGGGGCGACAGGGCCGGCGAGGCGCGGTGCGCCGGCAACGAGCGCGGAGCCAAGCAGGCGTCTCGCCGTTTGGAGGCGGCGGGCTCGGACGAGTACTGCGCTTCGGACTTCACCGGCCCCGAGTGCGAGCTCTGCGCCGCGGAGAATCAGTACCTCGTCGACGGCGACGAGTGCAAAGAGTGCGGAGCGCGCGGCGCCGCTGCGGGTCGCATCGCGGGCCTCGTCCTCGGCCTCTGCGTCGCGTGCGGCCTGGCGGCGTGGGCCTACAGCATGACGGACTGGCGGGAGAAACGCTTCATCGGCCCAATCCTTCGCTTTGCAGACCGCTCCGTCAAGTACTACGTCGAGGGCGGAATGACGGCCAAGGTCAAGATCCTGTTTGGCTTCTACCAGATCAGCACCGTCTTGTCGTCCACCTACTCGGCGCGGCTGCCGGACAAGTACACGGGCTGGACCGACAAGCTGGCCAGCGCGATCTCCATCGACTGGTCGGGCTTCTTCTTGCCGGAGCAGTGCCTCGGCTATGGTACGCGGCTCGTCGTCAGCGCTCTCTCCCCCGTCGTCCTCATCGCCCTGCTCATGGGAACGGGAATCGCGCTGCGGCTCCGCCGCTGGCGTGCCGCGTCACCGCGCCCAAAGCTGTGGGCAGAGGCGGCCCTCGGCCTCCTCGATCTCACGCCGGCCGGCTTGGTGCTCATTTTCTGCTTCGTGCCCTCAATCAGCGCCTCCATCTTCCGCTCGTGGTCGTGCCAGGCGCCTCAAAGTGATGACTGCCGTTGCTCACGCCGCCCCTCAGGCAATGTGCTGCTGATAGGCCTACACCATCTCTCCGCCGAACGAGCCCCTGGAGCAGGTCTCCTACATGCGGCAGGACGCGAGCGTCGAGTGCTACACCGAGAAGCACGACGGCATCACCGCCCTGGCCCTCGGCTTCATCGTCCTCTGGCCGGTCGGCTCGCTGGTCCTTTTCACGTCGCTCCTCGCCGCCTGCTACAAGCCGCTGCAGGCCAAGTCGCCGAATGCTCTGACGCGGGCCACCGCCTTCCTCCACCGGGAGTACGAGAAGACCTGGTACTGGTGGGAGGCGGTCGAGCTGGCGCGCAAGCTCGTGCTCACGGGCTTCGTGCTGCTGATCCCGGAGAAGAACGCATTCCTTCGCCTCGTGGTGGCGACCCTGATCTGCTCGTGCTACGCCGTCGTGCTCGCCGTCGTGCGGCCGTACAAGCGGGTCGAGGACGACGTGCTAGCCGTCGCCACGAGCCTCGTCCTCCTCCTCCTCTTCCTCGGCACCAACTGGACCACCATCTTCCTCGGCATCGAGGAGCGGTACCAGGGAGCCGACCCCGCCGATGTCCTGGGCTTCGGAAAGCTCAATGCCATCGTGGACACGATGATCGTGCTCGTTGCTGTTGCGCTCGTCTTCTTCTTAATCGGCGCCGTCGTCGCCGCCCGCCGCGTCGCCAAGGTCCCCACGATCCGCCTCGTCTCGACCAAGCAGCCCCCCGAGATGAGCATCGGGACTGGCCTCACGTGGCACCTCTTCCTCTCTCACATCTGGTGCGTCGCGCAGCTAGCGAGGATGATCAAGCCAGGCCGCATCCAACTCCAACCCCCTGACCATGCAGGTCGACCGGTCAAGACGCCGTCGGAAACATCAAGAGTGAGCTCCAGCTGCTGGTGCCGGGCCTCAAGATTTTTCTCGACGCGCGCACAGGCTCAGCCGCGCTGCTCCAGCTACACACCGCCCTTCTGACGCACCGCGGTGTGCGCACAGGTGGATGATCTCAAGGATATTGGGTCGCTGGAGGAGTACATTCAGCACTCGCAGGTCATCCTCTTCTTCCTCTCGTGTGGCTACTTCCGCTCCAAGGCGCGCTCTCGCCGCCCTGTCCCGCGCTCGGGATCGTCTGGCTCTCAACGCACCCGAGTCTGCTGCGCCCCTCGACACTCCCCACGGCTCACCGCCCGCCTGCTTGCGTGCCACCAGAACTGCCTCCGCGAGATCCGCTCGTCGCTCGAGCAGAGCAAGCCGATCGTTCTCGTCCAAGAGGCGGACCCTGCAAAGGGCGGCGCGACGCTGCAGGCGCTGCGCGGCGAATGCCCCGAGGACCTGCAGCCGGACATCTTTGAAAAGGGCTGGACGCACACCATCTACATGCGAGTTGTGGAGTTCCAGCGCGTCTCGCTCAAGACAATCGTCGAGGCGCAGCGGGGCACAGCCGCAGCCCTCTCGCCCCTCCCGAGACCTCAGCCCCGGCACCCTTGAACCACAGGCGGTGCTCCTCTGCTCGCCCAACTACGTGAACCAGACCTCCCTCCCGCTCTGCGTGCCGGGCGAGCCCGAGAGCGAGTTGCTCGCCTTTGCCAAGGAGACCATGCTCTGGGCCTCGCCGGCCAACGCGGGCGCCCTGGAGCTGGCCAACAAGATCGCCGCCGCCTTTGCCGGTCTCACGATCTCCACCGCCGATGCTCGGCCGGCCACCGCGACCCACATGCTGCTCTACCTCAACGAGGACAGCTTCAGCGACGCGCGGCTGGCCGACCAGGTCCAGCAGGCGCGCAAAGACAAGCTGAAGATCGTCATGGCGCACGAGAACGACCCGGACCTCGGCGGCTGCGAGTTTGGCAGAATGTTCGAAGTCACGCCGCAGGAGCGAATGCCTCACAGTGACGCCCGTCCCGAGCCTCCCCTCCCCCCACACGCCTCCTCCAAACGCCGCAGGAGCTCATCGCCGACGGGCTCTACAAGACCCTGGCACGCTCGTGCTTCCCGGGTTGCCACAACCCGGCGCGCGCTTTGTCTCTCCCACATCTCGCCTTGCGCACTGGCGGGACTCACCAGCCAGGGCGTTCCGTTCCGCAGGTGTCGCTCGCGCTTCTGGCAAAGGACCTCGGCGCGACTCCCGCTCAGTCGGGCAGCGTCGCAAGGATGAGCCGCCTCTCGGGCAGCATCGCCAAGCGTGGCAGCCGGCTCGTTCCCACGATCAGCCGCCGCAGCTCTGCGAAGACAACCACCGCGGGCGACGGCTCTGGAGGCGAGGCGACGGTCTCGGTGGTCTCGGAGGAGTCCGCGGTCTCGGTGCAGGCGGCGCAGGAGCATGTCTAACTCTTCGGCGGCCGCACTCACGGCAGACGCCACAGCACACAGACGCCATCTTGAGCAATTCACACGAGCAGGCACAGCGACCCGCCGGGGAGGAGGGGCGGGAGGCGTTTGCCGCGTCGGCGACCCACATGGGTCTGGGTCCATATCCGCCGCGCGCTCTCGCAGTGATGGGGGCTTTTGCGCAGCGGTGTGCTGCGCGGCGAGCCTTTCTCTGGAGGTTTATGGTTTGGGGGGGGGGGGGGGGGGTAAGGCCCGGGGAACACAACTGAAGCTCCGTCCCCGTACTCCCGTGCTTACTCCGGGTCCCGGGCGTCGTTGCCTTTCCTTGAGCGGGGCTACTGGCCAGGGGGGGACTAGTTGCAAATACGGGGGCTGTCAACATGATGAATTTTGATGTTTTTTTGTGTCCGTGTTGCTCCCAGCGCCCTCGCCCGTCAAGATATTGTGAACATGGTCAGCCTCTACAATATACTCACTGACACTGAACCTCCCAGAGCTCGTCCCGGTCCGCCACGGCCATCCTCGTCCTCCGCGGCGCCGGCTCCGGCCCCTCCGCCGCACTGTGATGAGCGTCGGCAGGACCCTTTGAAATCATAAATGGCGGCGTCTGGAGAGGCCCCCACGGCCGGGGGCGGTAAGTGGGTGATAGGAGGGTGATAAACGACCATCACACCGGCCACCGGACCCCTCCACCCCCCCAAACACAGTCCAAACCGGCCCCGGCGGCCGCCGTGCAGGAGGCCGCCGGGGCGCACCAAACGGCCCTTCACGGCCGCCACACGGGCCACCACGGCCCGTCCCGGTGGCACGGGTGCCGCCGCGCACCCGCCCGACGCCCCCGGCCCACCAGCTTCCGCTCTGGGGGGCTTCACCTCCGCCAGCGGGCCGAGCGCGCCGCCTTCTCGCCGCGCTGCGGCCGCACGCCCGAGAAGTGGCCGAAGGGCGACCTATGCGGCACTAAAATCACGACTAGAAGCGCCGCCCGCCAGCAGGCAGCTTGCCCGCCGCGCGCCGCGCGCCGCCGCAGCCCCCGGTTGCACATGAGCCGAGGTTGCACATGAACTCGGAAAAAGAATTTTCCGCGCGGAGAGAGAAGGACAGCGAAGAGCCTACCAGTGCGACGTCAAACATAAAGAAAACCCACGTGACACGCAGCTAAGCATCCCTTTTTGGGCCGCCGTCGGCAGTCGCGCGCGCGGCGTGTCACGATGAAAGCGAGCAGAGACGACAGCTTCTCACCTTGTGACGGCTTCCCAACGTCAAGCAGGCGACGCTGCCCCCGGCCGCGCACAGGACGCATCTGCAAGCAAGCTTAACCCAGGGTCCAGCACTCCACAGCGCGCTTCTCATCCTCAAGCACGCTACCCTGCGGCTGACTCCCGCCTTGTCGTCGTTGCTTCTCAGCGTCGTCGGACTTGCCTCCATGACAAGCTGGGCCGTGGGCATCGACCCCGCGCCGTCCGACCAAAGAAAGGGGGAGACGGACGCTCTGCACGCGCCGGTGCCGGCAACAAAGTATCGCCGAAAACTCGTCGGATTGGCTATCGCTTTGCTCGTCGCTCTCGCCGTGCTGGTCCCTATCTTCACCGTCACCATCATGGGCCTCGTGCGAATGGAGAAGGTGAAGCTCGAACTTATTAGTCTCGACGTGGTACCCTCCGAGCTGACGAGCGGCGGCACTTCGTTTCGCGTCCGTGCGCGTCCGAACAACATGCCATTCGCGCACAAGCTCGACATTGATAGCGCACGCTGCATCGCTTCAACAAAGAACGACTCCGCGGCGGTGCTCGACGTGGCACCCGCGAAATTGGGAAGCCAGACCGTCATGCTCAACGTCAATCTCCAGCTCAACAGTGGAGTCGGCCTAGTTGCATGGCGGGATGGGCTACACTCGGAGCTCACCTGTGTCGCCCGTGGAAGGCTCACCTCCGGCGCTCTCCGCTTCCAAGTCGCCTTCGAGGTGCCCCAACCCTCGAGCTCACCGTGCGCACAGACACCACCCTGACTGACAGACCTCCACGCCACCCCACCCACACAGTTCTCTCTTCGGTTCGACGCGGAGCCGGACGACCACGAATCCGTCCAGTTTGACGATTGGGCTCTCGAGGGGCTGAGCACTCTGAGCAGCAAGGCGCGCGTGAGCATTCCGCCCATGTCAAACCTCATTGGGAGCATCAACAGCGAGGCAGGCAAGGCTCTCTCGAGTGCCTTCACTGGCCCTCCCGCCCTCAACGTCACGGGGTTCAAGGCTGGCTTCTCTGAGCCCGCCGAGGCGGGCTTCGCTGCTCGGCTCAACACTTTGAGCGGTCACGATGACGTCCTCGGTCTCGACCAAAAGACTCGCCTGGCCCTGAGCTCCGGCGCCTTCCCGCTTGGGAAAGACGTGCCACTCGGCAACATCGAGATCTCGACCGACTTGGCACAAGATGCCTTCGGTCGAGTCACTCTGCGCACCAAACGCTTGCAGGAGCTGATGGCCGAGTTCCTCCCGGCCTCGACCGAACGTCTACGAATTGACGCTCAGGTGCTGCACCTCGCCTTCCGCCTCGTCTCCTCCCTCGAGCCCGCTGGCCCGTCGCATGCACCATTCATCGGCGACCTCAAAGTGCAAGCGGCGATTTCGGAGCACGAGCTCGACCTCGCAAACCTCCCTGACGAGATCGATCTCCTGTGGGGGCTGCAGTGCCTCGGCGAGGACTGCCGGCTTTATCCCACGCGGGCACACAAGCAGGGCAGCCACGTTCTCAGCAGCGCGTTTGCAGGCTTCATGTGCAGTGTCTCCTCGCGAAACCTCTCCTCGAGCTTGCTCACCCGTGTCGCTGAAGCCAGCGGCATAGCAGGACTCGATGTGAGTGCTACTGCACGCGTGCATGACGCTGTTGACCCCAAGGCCGTCGACTTCGACTTGAAGACCGTCGTCAGCGACCTTGGCGGGCCACTCGTAGATGTTCAGGGCTCAGGCCAGGCACCCAAACGGATCTCGAGTTCGAGGCGGGGACGGCTCTTAACCAACGGCGAAGAGTCGGACTCGTCGATCTTGGAGGCGGGGCTGACGTTCATGCCGTCCGGACGATTGCTTGAATGGCTGCCGAGGTCCGAGCCGCTCTCCGGATGGGTCCACGTGGAGTGGGGAGACGACACGAACTCTGTCCTCCCAGTCAGCCTCGAGGCCAACGGCACCTTCGGCGACGACGGCTTCACCGCCCAAAGCACCCTCGACCTCGGCCGCAGCGACGACGACGATCTCGTGAGCCCGGCGAGCATGACGCTCGACATCGAGCCCTTCGGCGCTGCTGGCTTCGAGCCAGTGGCGGCCCGCCTCAGCGTCGAGTGGGACGAGGACCTCTTTCCGCTCTCTGCTCAGGGCGAGGTCGGCTACGGCGCGTCCTCGGTGGCGATGGAAGGCTCGGCGTCAATCTCGCCGCTCGCTGCCTCGCTCTCGCTCACGCCGACCGACGTCGACTGGATGGACCCGCTCTCCGCCTCGGCCTCGCTCACCTTCGCCCCGAGCGGCTCCGACTCGGGCCTGCCACCGCCCCCGCCGCCCGTGCCGCCCGCGCCTCCGCCGTTGCAGACATCGCTCAACATCAATAGATACGCTCAGTTCTTCTCCTCTTCTGACTGCTCGAGCGGGGCGATCCGCCCGCACAGCAACCTCCACGCGACCTCACCAGCGGAGAAGGTGGCCTTCTGGACCACACCCTCGATCCCGCATGATGAATGCTGGTACATTGGCAACGGTCGCTCCCTGTCAGGCGTTCACTGTGACATGAGCACCGACCCGCCGTCCAGCGTGGTGACGCACTACTACACGCCGGACTGCACGGGCAATCCAGTGCCAGGCACTTTTGTGGCTGATGGCTCAACATGCCACGCCTCGGCCTTGCCCAACGCCAAGTACTGCACCGACCCGAACGACGACACGACGTGCTCGAGCTTCTTGTCATTTACGACCCTGTGCAAGGCGCCGCCGGCAGCGACGACGGCCGTGTTGCGTTGGCAGGATTGGTGGACGTCCGACTCGTGCACGAGCCCCTCCTCGTACCCGGATTCGGAGACGTCCTCGTACTTTCCGGACGCGCCGCACGAGGACTGCCGCTCACTCGGGGGCAGCGGCTTCTCGGTGCGCGGTGGCTTCTGCAACGGCACGACCTATCAGGATCACCTCTACCTTGGACCCGACTGCACGTTGCCCACGTGGCAACCGTTCCCTTACCCGCGCTCGGAGCCGGCGGGGGCCTGCCAATCACATGCTCCCAGCTCGCACAAGTCAATCTGCGAGGTCAACCTGCTGTCGCCGACGCCGCCGCCGCCCTCCCCGTCGCCGCCGCCCACGCCGCCGCTGCCCTCCCCGTCGCCGCCGCCCACGCCGCCGCCACCATTGGATATGTGCGACGAGGGCAAGTGCACGAGCCCTGACGGTGGCGATGGCTACGACTGCTGCGCAAGCGATGACTGGGGCGAGCCACAGACGTGCAGCGATGGCTACACCCCCACCCCCACCGGAGATCACTGCCAGTACACATGCTGCCTGCCACACGAGGAGGAGGAGGACGACCCGATCTTCCCGGTCGCGCTCGCGGTAAAAGGCTGTTACGGCGCCGACGGCATCTCCGTCTACAGCACCCTCGACCTCAGAGACGGCGGCGACGACGCCGTGCCGGGAGCGAGCATGACGCTCGACATCGAGCCCTCCGGCGGTGCTGGCTTCGAGCCAGTGGCGGCCCGCCTCAGCGTCGAGTGGGACGAGGACCTCTTTCCGCTCTCTGCTCAGGGCGAGGTCGGCTACGGCGCGTCCTCGGTGGCGATGGAAGGCTCGGCGTCAATGATGGGGTGGGTAGAGCGACGTGCCTCGCCGCTCGCTGCCTCGCTCTCGCTCACGCCGACCGACGTCGACTGGATGGACCCGCTCTCCGCCTCGGCCTCGCTCACCTTCGCCCCGAGCTATTCCGATTCGGGCGAGGAGGTGGAGCCGTGTCTGTGTGACCCGATCTTCCCGGTCGCGCTCGCGGTCAACGGCTCGTACGGCGCCGACGGCATCTCCGTCTACAGCACCCTCGACCTCAGAGACGGCGGCGACGACGCCGTGCCGGGAGCGAGCATGACGCTCGACATCGAGCCCTCCGGCGGTGCTGGCTTCGAGCCAGTGGCGGCCCGCCTCAGCGTCGAGTGGGACGAGCAGGACCTCTTTCCGCTCTCTGCTCAGGGCGAGGTCGGCTACGGCGCGTCCTCGGTGGCGATGGAAGGCTCGGCGTCAATCTCGCCGCTCGCTGCCTCGCTCTCGCTCACGCCGACCGACGTCGACTGGATGGACCCGCTCTCCGCCTCGGCCTCGCTCACCTTCGCCCCGAGCAACTCCGACTCGGGCGAGGAGGAGGCGCCATTACCGGCGCCTCCGCCGCCCACGCCGCCGCCGCCCTCCACCTCGCCGTCGCCGCCGCCGCCCATGTCGCCGCCACCGGCGCCTCCGCCGCCCATGCCGCCGCCACCGGCGCCGCCGCTTCCTGCCTCGCCTCCTGCCTCACCGCCGCCATCGCCCCCTCCGTACCTTCTTCCTCCGTACCTTCTTCCCATTCCTGAGTTTACCATTCCTGTGGCCTTCCGCGTGCTCACGGGCTCCGAGTACTGCCACCTCACCATAAGCTCCGACGGCAGGAGCTGCGTCACGGACGGCCCCGGCAACTACGGCGACAATGAGGAATGCACTGTCGAGGTGCTGCAGACCGGCCTGCTGTCCGCCACCGAGTTTAACACTGAATCGGGCTACGACTACATCACCATCGATAGCAAGCGGTACCAGGGGGCGGCAGGGCCCAGCAACCTGCCCGTCACCGCGGGGACCAGGTTCACCTGGCAGTCGGACGGAGGTGTGACCGATATGGGCTGGACGATTTGCTTCCAGCAGTCGCCTCTGCCGCCGCCACCGCCGCCGTGGGAGGACGACCCGATAACGAGCCCTTGGCCCGACATCGCGGGCTACACCCCCGGCTCGGACGTGACCAAGCACGCCAACCTCGACCTCGACCAGCAGGCTCTGGTGCAGGCGCTCAAGGAAAGCACCCCGAACTGGGACCTGGCCGAGGAATCGTACGCCGTCGGCGGGTACTCGCTGTCGGGCAAGGTCCCCAACGGGCTCCGCACCATGAAGGGCTTCTCCGCCGGCGCCGAGGGCAAGATGTACAACGGCTGCGCCGGCTGCCCGTACAAGACCTTCTCGGCCTTCTACGACTACTACGGCGACTTTGACTATGCGGACAAGTGGGTGAGCGCCGCCCTCGACGGCGCCAACATGGCCTTCAGCAGCGGGCGGCACGGCCCGAACGACTTCGCCACGCTCGGCGACGCCGCGCGGATCGAGGCGGTCAAGAAGGGGACGGCGTACATGAACGTGTGGATGTACGTGATCCGCGAGTTTGAGGACGCGATCGACGACTGCTTCAACTGCCCGGACGGTCTGAACTGCAACGACTTCTCGGACTCCTTCTCTTCGGACAGCCCTCAGTACAATGCGGTGCACGCGTGGGACGAGGGCGTCGCCTTCTACGCCGGCTCGCTCGAGGGCCTAAATGTGGGTGGCAGCTCGGCCGGCGAGATGGTCTACCGGCTCGCGGAGAAGCGGTGCGCCAACTTTGGCACCTGCGATGAGACGGGGCTGTCGAACGTCAACAAGGAGCTGCTCGAGGACTTCATCTTGGGCGAGGAGCTCCTCAAGAAGGGCCTCTGCTCCAACGTGCGCCCCATCGTCGACAGGATCATCAAGCAGATGACGGTGCCGCTCGTGCAGGGCTCGCTCCGCTACGCGTACAAGGTCGGCGAGTCAATCCCGGGCGAGACGGTGGTGGGTTCGGATCGGTCGCAGAAAAACGCGGCGGAGGGCGCCGTCTTCACGGCGGCCGTGCTGCCCCTCGTCCACGAGTGCAACGTCGCCGCTGCCAAGACCATCAGCGACAAGATGAAGTTCGGCCTGTACGACCAGGGCGTCTTCCCCGACTTTGCGGCGGTCAAGGCCGCCTTCGAGAGCACCTACGACTGCCTCGGCATCACGTGCGCCGACGTGGGCGGCCTCACGGCTAACGGTGTGGCGGGGCCCTGCCAGGATGCCGTTCCCGACGGAGACGACGACGACGACGGCGGCAACACCGGCGCCATCATCGGGGCTGTCATCTTCCCGCTCGCGCTCGCGGTCAACGGCTCGTACGGCGCCGACGGCATCTCCGTCTACAGCACCCTCGACCTCGGGGACGGCGACGACGACGCCGTGCCGGGAGCGAGCATGACGCTCGACATCGAGCCCTCCGGCGCTGCTGGCTTCGAGCCAGTGGCGGCCCGCCTCAGCGTCGAGTGGGACGAGGACCTCTTTCCGCTCTCTGCTCAGGGCGAGGTCGGCTACGGCGCGTCCTCGGTGGCGATTGAAGGCTCGGCGTCCGTCTCGCCGCTCGCTGCCTCGCTCTCGCTCACGCCGACCGACGTCGACTGGATGGACCCGCTCTCCGCCTCGGCCTCGCTCACCTTCGCCCCGAGCTATTCCGACTCGGGCGAGGAGGAGGAGGACGACCCGATCTTCCCGGTCGCGCTCGCGGTCAACGGCTCGTACGGCGCCGACGGCATCTCCGTCTACAGCACCCTCAAAATTGCTCGCAACGTGGAGGACGAGCTGGTTGGGCCAGTGACGATCGATGTCGCAATCGACAGCACTCTGCTCTCTTCTCCTGTGGTCACGCATGTCGACGCTAGGAGCGATGACCTGACCAACCTCCTCGTCGTCCTTCCCATCTCAGCCGGTAGCGTGGCACTCGGAGCTGCGGCGTCGTACATTGTCTTGAGCGACGACCAGCTCCATGTGATGGCCTACTCTTGCTTCTCAATTGCAGCAACGGATCACCTGCTCCCCTCCTTGGGCATTTTGTCGCGCGAAGCGAACTACGAGTACGTGGTTGCCGTCATTACGACCGATCTTGTGGAGTCGCGCACGGCCCGCAGTGGTGCGACTGACGGCAATGACGGCGTGACTACGACCAACGCGACTCTCCTGAGGGAGGCCAGCGGCCGTTCAGGACGATTTTTCCTCCAATCCTCCGATGACGAGAGCCCCTGGGGGATCGTCTCTTCTCTCGTAGAGGCGAGCGGCAGCCTCCTCGATAGTATAGCCGTCCAGCCGCCCTCGCCGCCGCCGCCGTCGCTGCCGCCAGTCCCGCCCTACCCGCCAGCCCAGGCCCCCGCTCCGCCACCATCGCCCCCTCCGACTCCCTGCGTCCACGACGACAGCAAGTGCTCGAGCAGCGGCAACGACTGCTACACCTACAGCGAGTCTGAGGCGCAGACCTGCAGCGACGGCTACACCGCCAGCCCTCACCCCGACGACCCTCGGAGCGACGGCCGCTACACGTGCTACCCGCCTCACTGCCGCTGTGACGCGTCCAAGTGCTCGAGCCGCGACGGCGACGACTGTTTGGCTTTCCCAGGTCACGAGGCGCAGACGTGCCGTGACGGCTACTTGCCGATCGCGATCAATGACTGGCAGTACACTTGCTGCTTCGACTTTGACCGGCCACCGTCGCTGCCGCCAGTCCCGCCCTACCCGCCAGCCCTGGCCCCCGCTCCGCCGCCGGCGTCGCCACCGTCTCCCTGCGTCCACGACGACAGCAAGTGCTCGAGCGACGGCGACGACTGCTGGGCGGACCCGAACATGGAGGCGCAGACCTGCAGCGACGGCTACACCGCCAGCCCTCACCCCGACGAGCCTCGGAGCGACGGCCGCTACACCTGCTACCCGCCTCACTGCCGCTGCGACGCGTCCAAGTGCTCGAGCGGCTTTGACGACTGCTGGACGACTGCTGGCACGCCAGACGATGAGGAACAGACGTGCCGCGACGGCTACTTGCCGATCGCGACCAATGACTGGGGGCTGTACACCTGCTGCTTCGACTTCGACCAGCCGCCGTCGCTCCCGCCGCTGCCGCCGTTCCCGCCAGGCCTGGCCCCCTCTCCGCCACCATCGCCCCCGCCGTCTCCCTGCGTCCACGACGACAGCAAGTGCTCGAGCGGCGGCGACGACTGCTGGGCGGACCCGAACATGGAGGCGCAGACCTGCAGCGACGGCTACACCGCCAGCCCTCACCCCGACGACCCTCGGAACGAAGGTCGCTACACGTGCTACCCGCCTCACTGCCGCTGCGACGCGTCCAAGTGCTCGAGCCGCGACGGCGACGACTGCTACGCGAGTCCACCCGGTGAGGCGCAGACGTGCCGCGACGGCTACTTGCCGATCGCGACCAATGCCGGGCACCAGTACACCTGCTGCTTCGACTTTGATCAGCCGCCGTCGCTGCCGCCGCTCCCGCCGTTCCCGCCAGGCCAGGCGCCCGCTCCGCCACCATCGCCCCCGCCGTCTCCCTGCGTCCACGACGACAGCAAGTGCTCGAGCGGCGGCGACGACTGCTGGGCGGACCCGAACATGGAGGCGCAGACCTGCAGCGACGGCTACACCGCCAGCCCTCACCCGGACGAGCCTCGGAACGAAGGTCGCTACACGTGCTACCCGCCTCACTGCCGCTGCGACGCGTCCAAGTGCTCGAGCTACGGCGACGACTGCTACGCGGACGGCACGCCAGACGGTGAGGCACAGACGTGCCGGGACGGCTACTTGCCGATTGCGATCCGCGACTGGCTGTACACCTGCTGCTTCGACTTTGATCAGCCGCCGTCACTGCCGCCGCTCCCGCCGTTCCCGCCGGGCCAGACCCCCGCTCCGCCACCATCGCTCCCGCCGTCTCCCTGCGTCCACGATGACAGCAAGTGCTCGAGCGGCGGCGACGACTGCTGGGCGGACCCGAACATGGAGGCGCAGACCTGCAGCGACGGCTACACCGCCAGCCCTCACCCCGACGACCCTCGGAACGAAGGTCGCTACACGTGCTACCCGCCTCACTGCCGCTGCGACGCGTCCAAGTGCTCTAGCCGCGACGGCGACGACTGCTACGCGAGTCCACCCGGTGAGGCGCAGACGTGCCGCGACGGCTACTTGCCGATCGCGATCCGCGACTCGCAGTACACCTGCTGCTTCGACTTCGACCAGCCGCCGTCGCTGCCGCCGCTGCCGCCGTTCCCTCCAGGCCAGGCGCCCGCTCCGCCACCATCGCTCCCGCCGTCTCCCTGCGTCCACGACGACAGCAAGTGCTCGAGCGGCGGCGGCTGCTGGGCGGACCCGAACTACGAGGCGCAGACCTGCAGCGACGGCTACACAACCAGCCCTCACCCCGACGACCCTCGGAACGAAGGTCGCTACACGTGCTACCCGCCTCACTGCCGCTGCGACGCGTCCAAGTGCTCTAGCCGCGACGGCGACGACTGCTACGCGAGTCCACCCGGTGAGGCGCAGACGTGCCGCGACGGCTACTTGCCGATCGCGATCCGCGACTCGCAGTACACCTGCTGCTTCGACTTTGATCAGCCGCCGTCGCTGCCGCCGCCGCCGCCGCTCCCGCCGTTCCAGCCAGGCCAGGCGCCCGCTCCGCCCCCTGAGTGTGCTGCTCGCGGCTACGAGTATGTCGGGTGCAACTGCGACCCGGCTTCTGAATGCTCGCCGTGGGGCTCGAGCTCGGGCGGCGACTGCTGCGGGGACGACGGCGGCTACTGCGGCAGCGAGTGGGTCTCGACGGACGCATCGACGTGGATTGATACTTGCACTGGGCTCGACTTCATCCGTGTCTCTCCAGGCTGCGGTGTGGAGGTGGCGACCGAGACCGGCGGCGGAGGAGAGACATTCACGTACGACTCCAGCGTGCTCGTGTGCGGGTACGAGTGCGAGCCTCGGCCAACGCCGGGCTGCGACAGAGTGCGCTCGCTGCGACTGTTTCCGCTCGCGCCGCCGCCACCGCCGCACCCGCCGTTCCAGCCGGGCCAGGCACCTGCTCCGCCCCCTCCGTCTCCCTGCGTCCACGACGACAGCAAGTGCGTCGAGCCGACGTGCTGGGCGGACCCGAACATGGAGGCGCAGACCTGCAGCGACGGCTACACCGCCAGCCCTCACCCGGACGAGCCTCGGAACGAAGGTCGCTACACGTGCTACCCGCCTCACTGCCGCTGCGACGCGTCCAAGTGCTCGAGCCGCGACGGCGACGACTGCTACGCGAGTCCACCCGGTGAGGCGCAGACGTGCCGCGACGGCTACTTGCCGATCGCGACCAATGCCGGGCACCAGTACACCTGCTGCTTCGACTTTGATCAGCCGCCGTCGCTGCCGCCGCTGCCGCCGTTCCCGCCTGGCCAGGCCCCCGCTCCGCCACCATCGCCCCCGCCCTGCGTCCACGACGACAGCAAGTGCTTGAGCGGCGGCAACGACTGCTGGGCGGACCCGAACATGGAGGCGCAGACCTGCAGCGACGGCTACACCGCCAGCCCTCACCCGGACGAGCCTCGGAACGAAGGTCGCTACACGTGCTACCCGCCTCACTGCCTCTGCGACGCGTCCAAGTGCTCGAGCCGCGACGGCGACGACTGCTACGCGAGTCCACCCGGTGAGGCGCAGACGTGCCGCGACGGCTACTTGCCGATCGCGATCCGCGACTCGCTGTACACCTGCTGCTTCGACTTTGACCAGCCGCCGTCGCTGCCGCCGCTCCCGCCGTTCCCGCCAGGCCAGGCCCCCGCTCCGCCACCATCGCCCCCGCCGTCTCCCTGCGTCCACGACGACAGCAAGTGCTCGAGCGGCGGCGACGACTGCTGGGCGGACCCGAACATGGAGGCGCAGACGTGCAGCGACGGCTACACCGCCAGCCCTCACCCGGACGACCCTCGGAACGAAGGTCGCTACACGTGCTACCCGCCTCACTGCCGCTGCGACGCGTCCAAGTGCTCGAGCGCCGGCGGCGGCGACTGCTACGCGGACGGCAGGCCAGACGGTGAGGCACAGACGTGCCGGGACGGCTACTTGCCGATCGCGATCCGCGACTCGCAGTACACCTGCTGCTTCGACTTCGACCAGCCGCCGTCGCTGCCGCCGCTCCCGCCGTTCCTGCCAGGCCAGGCGCCCGCTCCGCCACCACTGCCCCCGCCGTCTCGCTGCGTCCACGACGACAGCAAGTGCGTCGAGCCGACGTGCTGGGCGGACCCGAACATGGAGGCGCAGACCTGCAGCGACGGCTACACCGCCAGCCCTCACCCGGACGACCCTCGGAACGAAGGTCGCTACACGTGCTACCCGCCTCACTGCCGCTGCGACGCGTCCAAGTGCTCGAGCCGCGACGGCGACGACTGCCACGCGGACGGCACGCCATACGGTGAGGCGCAGACGTGCCGCGACGGCTACTTGCCGATTGCGATCCGCGACTCGCAGTACACCTGCTGCTTCGACTTCGACCAGCCGCCGTCGCTGCCGCCGCTCCCGCCGTTCCTGCCAGGCCAGGCGCCCGCTCCGCCACCATCGCCCCCGCCGTCTCCCTGCGTCCACGACGACAGCAAGTGCTCGAGCGGCGGCGACGATTGCTGGGCGGACCCGAACATGGAGGCGCAGACGTGCAGCGACGGCTACACCGCCAGCCCTCACCCGGAGGAGCCTCGGAACGAAGGTCGCTACACGTGCTACCCGCCTCACTGCCGCTGCGACGCGTCCAAGTGCTCGAGCTACGGCAACGACTGCTACGCGAGTCCACCCGGTGAGGCGCAGACGTGCCGCGACGGCTACTTGCCGATCGCGATCCGCGTCTCGCAGTACACCTGCTGCTTCGACTTTGATCAGCCGCCGTCGCTGCCGCCGCTGCCGCCGTTCCCGCCTGGCCAGGCCCCCGCTCCGCCACCATCGCCCCCGCCGTCTCCCTGCGTCCACGACGACAGCAAGTGCTCGAGCGGCGGCGACGACTGCTGGGCGGACCCGAACATGGAGGCGCAGACCTGCAGCGACGGCTACACCGCCAGCCCTCACCCGGACGAGCCTCGGAACGAAGGTCGCTACACGTGCTACCCGCCTCACTGCCGCTGCGACGCGTCCAAGTGCTCGAGCCAGCAACGGCACTGCTACGCGAGTCCACCCGGTGAGGCGCAGACGTGCCGCGACGGCTACTTGCCGATCGCTGTCCGCGATTCGCAGTACACCTGCTGCTTCGACTTTGATCAGCCGCCGTCGCTGCCGCCGCTGCCGCCGTTCCTGCCAGGCCAGGCGCCCGCTCCGCCACCACTGCCCCCGCCGTCTCGCTGCGTCCACGACGACAGCAAGTGCTGGAGCGGCGGCAACGACTGCTGGGCGGACCCGAACATGGAGGCGCAGACCTGCAGCGACGGCTACACCGCCAGCCCTCACCCGGACGACCCTCGGAACGAAGGTCGCTACACGTGCTACCCGCCTCACTGCCGCTGCGACGCGTCCAAGTGCTCGAGCCGC